CTTGGTCTAAGGCGAACATGGATGACAGAGTAGCGAGGGTATCTACAAATTGGTTGTCTTCCCGAGGGATGTACTCGAAAGTGACGCTTTCCATCCTCGAAGTCAAATTATGAATATGCTCTAGATACGAAATCAATTTGGAATTTCTGGTTTCCCATTCACCCTTGAGTTGGTAGATGACAAGGGATGAGTCACCAAACACTTTGAGTTTGGTTACCCCGTGATCTAGAGCTGTTTGGACACCTAAAGCATAGGCTTCATACTCAATCATATTATTTGTGCAATCGAAGTTTAGTCTGGCCACAATCGGGATATACTTCTTTTCTAGAGATATTAAAATAGCTCCAATCCTGTGTCCAAGCATATTCGAGGATCCATCATAGATCATGGTCTATGCATCATCTTTGGTCTCTTTGTGTTCAATATGCATGATATGTTCATCAGGAAAGTCGTCGTGTAAGGATTGATATTCATCTGTTGATCCTTGTGCTAGGTAGTCTGCCAGTAGACTACCTTTGATAACTTTTTGAGTAACATGGATGTGTTAGAAATGTAGGCTGAGATCAAGAGGGGGGGGGGGTGAATTGATCTTTGAAAGATTTTCGTAAATTACAGATTATCTATTTCAAAGATTAAGATTCCAGACCAGTTCTTGAATCACACACAACAAGCAATCAAAAGTAAATGTAGTGACAAGAATAAGAGAGAAAGGTTTAGAAAGATACAACCAAGGTTTATACTGGTTCACCCAATCCCAGGGCTACGTCTAGTCTCCAGCCAAATTCCAGCTGGGTTCCACTAGATTGAACGTTTTACAGATTACAACTTTAATCTCACACTCAATCTACCACAAGAACCACAATTCCAGTTCCTGCACCTAAACCTTCACCAAGAACCAAATTCTAGTTCTTGACCAACCCTGCAGCCAAATTCCAGCTACAGAAACTAGTGCCCACAATTCCAGGCACCCACAATACAATAAAGAAAGTAAAGAAACAAGTAGAAGAAACTTAGAATGCTCAAACCATATTTATGCAGCTCTACAATATGTGTTTCTTCTCCAAAAGAATGCAATTTTGCCTCAAGAAAGAACTTCCTATGAACTTCACGAAAACTAGCACGATTCTCTCTTGAAAGTAGCACTTATGCTTGCTTGATTGATTGCTAAAAGATGTGTTTTAAAAGGTTCAAGCAATACAGTTTATATAGAAGATTTTCAAAATTGCTGGTTTATTTAATCTGTTAAAATAATCTTTTAATCTGTTAAAAGTCTTGTTTTAATCTGTTAAAACTTCTTTTAATCTGTTAAAATGTTCTTGATTATTTTCCAGATTTGTTTTAACTGATACAACACCGTTTATATCAATTAAAACTCTTTGTAAAAAATCTTCCAAATTATTTTAATCGATTGTTTCGTCTGTCAATCGATTAAAATACTGCAAAACATTCTTATAAACTTTTCTAAGTGATTTTAACTGATAACAATCTGTTTTAATCGATTAAAACATTGAAAAAAATTCACTTAGTTATTTTAATCGATTGAAACACATTTTAATCGATTATAATTCTGCCAAAAGATTTCATAAAACTTTCGAAGTTATTTTAACTGATAGCAAGCTTGTTTTAATCGATTAAAACATTCTGGAAAAACCTCTTAGTTGTTTTAATCGATTATTTCGCATTTGTATCGATTAAAATATTGACAGAACAACTTTCAAAACACTTCAAGTTATTTTAATCGATTATTTCGTGTTTGTATCGATTAAAATTCTGCCAGAACACTTTTCAAAATAGTCTAAGTTATTTTAATCGATTATATCAATTCTATATCGGTTAAAATATCGCGGAAGGTTTTCAAAAATCCTTCTAATGAAAACGATCGATTATTTTGAAAACATATCAGTTAAAAACTTGTTGCAAAAGTGGTAAGAACATTTTAGTTGATAAAGCTTGTAAACTATTAGTTAAAATAGTTAATTAAAAACCTTGTAACAAAATACTTTGTTTTTAACCGTTTAAAAGCTTTTTAGAGGCATTTGCAGAATCTTTTAAATGAAGAAACCTCATGCAACAAAGAGATAAAAATGATTATACCTAAGCAGAGATGCAGACTCACTAATTCCACTACTCTTTTATCTAAGTGACCTTTGACTGCCACAAAGTAGCCTTTGACTTCATTTTTGACTTCATCAAATCAACAAGATCTTTACCAAGGTAATTCAATAAGATCTTCATCACTTTCAGTCTCCCCCTATTTGATGAAGACAAACACCTCTTTGAATAATAACTCTGCAGAAGAAGTCACTTGAATATATAGATTAGTGAGTATTCAAAAATATATAGATTAGTGAGTATTCAAAAATTAATCATTTTCCTATTTCTCCCCCTATATTGCTACTCCCCCTAAATAAAGAAAATCAAAGCAATTATTTCTCCCCCTTTTGACTTCATCAAAAAATAGGGAATAGAGGAACATAAAATGTATCAGTTTTAAAAAAAAAAAAAAGTAAAAGATTTTGAACAAGATTCCTTACTCATGTAAAGACCAATCAAAGTTGATTCGAACTTATCTTCATTAACATGTTTGTAATGGATACAATTATCACGTGTAAAGATAAGGAAATCATGCTTTAGTAGCATGTTACAAGAACAACCATTAACTAAAGCCTTTAATTTTTCTTTCCAGAGTAAAAATCGATTAAAAACAGGACGAAATTGATTAAAATGATCTTGTTACTAGTATTAATCGATTAAAATAACGTTTTAACTGATTAACACAGTGAAAAAATTGAGACATAAGTTGATTTAATCGATTAAATCGACATTTAATCGATTAAACCAGTAGGAAAAATGCTGTATAAGTGTTTTTAATCGATTTAAAGCTTGGTTTTATCGATTAAAACAACCAGTTTTGAAAAACTAAGAAATGTTTGATGCATCTAAAATGCCTAATTCAGTGCGGATTTTGTAAAATCGATCACGAGCAAGAGGTTTTGTAAAAATATCTGCTAGTTGTTTTTCAGTTTCTATAAAGAAAATTTCATAATCACCTTTCAAAACATTATCTCTAATGAAATGATGTCTAATTTCTATATGTTATGTTCTAGAGTGTTGAATTGGATTTTTAGTTAACATAATGGCACTAGTATTATCACATAAGAGAGGAATTTTTCTGAGAATTAAACTGTAATCCTCAAGCTGTTGTTTGATCCAAAAGATTGAGCACAACAACTTCCAGCTGCAATGTATTCTGCTTCAGCTGTAGAAAGAGCAACACATGATTGCTTTTTACTATGCCAAGAGATTAGACTGCTTCCAAGGAGATGACAGGTACCATTGGTGCTTTTCCTATCAAGCTTACAACCTGCAAAATCTGAGTCAGAGTATCCAATTAAATTTAGTTTGGACTCACCAGGATACCATAACCCAACATTTAAAGTTCCTTTGAGATATTTGAGGATTCTTTTTGCAGCAGTAAGATGAGATTCTTTTGGTGCAGATTGAAACCTGGCACACATACAAACACTAAACATAATGTCAGGTCTACTTGCTGTTAAATAGAGTAAAGAACCAATAAGTCCTCTATATTTAGTTTCATCAACAACTTTTCCTTTTTCATCAGAATCAAGATAGCAATTTGTGGACATAGGTGTTGATGCTTCTTTGCAATGTTCCATCTCAAATTTCTTTAAAAGTTCTGTGCAGTATTTAGATTGATGAAGAAAACTTCCTTCTTGAAGTTGTTTAACTTGTAATCCAAGAAAGTAGTTGAGTTCCCCCATCATAGACATCTCAAATTCTCCCTGCATATGTTTGATAAAATCTTTACATAAAGACTCATTAGTGGCTCCAAATATGATGTCATCAATGTATACTTGAACCAGAATTACATCAAAATTCAATTTTTTTAAGAATAAAGTTTTATCAACCAAACCTCTTTAATATCCCTTTGAAATGAGAAAAGTACTTAACCTTTCATACCATTGTCTTGGAGCTTGTTTGAGACCATACAGAGCTTTCTTTAATCTATAAACATATTCTGGATGAATATGATCTTCAAAATCAGGTGGTTGTGTAACAAAAACTTCTTCATTCAAGTAGTCATTTAAGAAAGCACTTTTGACATCCATTTGAAATAACCTGAAACTTTTTATTGAAGCATAAGCAAGTAAAAGTCTAACAGCTTCTAATCTAGCAACTGGAGCATATGTTTCATCAAAATCAATTCCTTCTTGCTGATTATACCCTTTAGCAACTAATCTGGCCTTGTTTCTAGTGATTATACCATTTTCATCCATTTTATTCCTAAAAACCCATTTTGTACCTACAATATTTGCATTATCTGGTTTTGGAATTAATTCCCATACTTCATTTCTTGTAAATTTATTTAATTCATCATGCATAGCATTAATCCAATTATTATCCTTTAATGCACCAGATATGGTTTTTGGTTCAATTTGTGATACAAATGCCATGTGATTGCAAAATTTATTTAAAGATCTTCTAGTGGAAACTCCCTGATTTATTTCACCAATAATGTTGTCTATTGAATGATTTCTTGGAGTTTTCCAATCTTTAGGCAGCTGCTCTTCAGTTTCTTCAATCTCTTCAACCTGTTTTTGAGAAGCTGTTGATTCTGACAGTTTTAACTGATACCACTACAACAAAAACATCAAATAGTGACCGAATTTTCGGTCACTAAATGACCAAAATCGGTCACTAACTAAAATAGTGACCAACCCAAATCAGCTCACTATTTTCTTGGTCGTTGATTTCGGTGACCGAATCAAGAATCGAATCGGTGACCGATTGAGTCGATCACTATATCGAGTCACTAAAAAAACATTAAAAAATTAAAAATATTTTTTTATAACCCCTTTCTATTTTTTATCTAATTATAATAGTCTCTAACCTCCCTTTAATATTTTTTCTTTTATATTCTTTTATAATATATTTTTTATATTTTTTAGAAATTTGAATTATTATTAGATTGAAAGAATTGTCACCGACAGGATTCGAACCTAGTACCTTAGAATTAGAGATCGATACTCTAACCACTAAGCTACTAGGATTTTTTGATAATAGTTTATAAATAAATTATATTTATATACAAATAAAAATATATATCCGTGTAAATATATAAATATAAAATATATATATATATATATATATATATATATATATATATATATATATATATATATATATACATATATGTTGGATGTGAGGGCGCGCTCGAGGGTGAAACCGTGTGTCGAGTGGATTTTTAAAATTTGATGTCAAATTTGTGAGCGAGTCTCTTTAGATGAGTTTATAATTTAATGACACAATATAATCTTTCTAATTTATTTATATAATGATATAAAATAACTTTTTTCTTTATTTATTTTTATTTTATTTTAATTTATTCTTCTTATATTTTTTTCTTCTATTATTTAATTAAAATTCTTATATTAAAATAATTTTTTCAATATTAAAAATAATTAAATATTTATTTTTAAAATTATTTAATTTAACAAATTATTATAAATTAATCTAATTATGATTATTAATAGAACAATTTTTTCCTAACATATATTATTATAAATTAATCAAAATCATCTTTTAATAATTATTTTTTCCAGACATAGATTAATTCATAATAATTTGTCAAATTAAATAATTTTAAAAAATAATTTTGAAAATAAATATTTAATTATTTTTAATAATGAAAAAATTATTTTAATATAATAATTTTAATTAAATAATAGAAGAAAAAAAGATAAAAAGAATAAATTAAAATAAAATAAAAATAAATAAAGAAAACAATTATTTTATATCATTATAGAAATAAATTATAAAGATTAAATTCTATCATTAAATTACAAATCCATATAAAGAGACTTGCTCACAAATTTGACATCAAATTTTGAAAACTCACTCGACACACACTTTCACCCTCTAGCGTGACCCTCGCATCAAACATATAAATATATATAAATATATCAAAATATATAAATATATTTATATTTATATATTTACACGGATATACATTTATTTATATATAAATATAATTTATTTGTAAATTTTTATTAAAAAATTCTAACAGTTTAGTGGTTGGAGTATTAATATCTAACTCTAAGGTATTGATTTTGAATCTTATTAGTAATAATTTTCTTAATCTAATAAAAAAAATTTGTTAATAAGAGAAATTATATATTTTTGTGGTAAGACGATGAGATTTTTAGGTTAAACTAAAATTAGGGCAACTAAATTGTTGTTATGGACTAAAACCTAAAAAGTAAAAAATAAAAAAATATAATTAAATAAAAGAAAAAATATATACTTTTGCATTTTTATTTTCAAATATTAGTTTTTTTATGAAATTATTTTTAATTAAAATAATTAAAGTGATATATATATATATATATATATATATATATAAATTTTTTTATTTTTTTAATTTTAATTTATTAATATTATCAAATTTTAGCTTCATGATTAAAAAAATACCAATAATTTAAATTTTATTAAATCTATAATTTTATAAAATCTATAATTTTATATAATTATTATTATAAATTTAATTCTCCAATAACTTATAATATTAACACATTTATTAAATTAAAATTCTTTATTTTAATTAATTTTTTTGATTTTTTTAATAATTTTTTTAAATAAAAACGATAAAACTTAAAATAAATTTCTAACTAAATCTTCACAGATTTATGGTTAATAGAATATTATATTATTATGTTTAATTAAATTTTAAAATAAGTTCACTTAATCTTTACACTTTTATAAAAATACTAATATAAACTTAAAATATTTATCCAATTATTAAATTATTTAAAATATTAATATAAATTTGAAATAGCAATTCAATAATTAAAATAATTTTAATTTTTTTATAAATACATTGAAATACATTTTTATTAATATAAAAGTAATATATATATATATATATATATATATATATATATATATATCAAAAAGAGACTAAATTAATAATTACTTTAATGATCGAATCGATCATCGATTCGGTAACTAATTTAATAATTAATTTTAATTTTTTTATTCACATACTAAATTAAAAAATAAAATCAAATAATTATATTATTAAATTATTTAATAAGTTAATAAACTATTTTTAAAAATTTTTATAATGTTATTAAAATTTTTATCAATTATTTTAAATTATTAAGTAGATTTATAGTTAATATATTATTAAAATATTTTAAAAAAATATTTATATAAATAAAAAATTGTCACTATTTTATATATTATTTGTTTAGTGACTGAAATTTTAGTCACTAAATCAGTCACTATATAAAAAGAGAAATCAGTCACTGATTCAGTTACTATTAGTAACTGAATTTTTTGGTCACTAATTTCGATCACTATTAACCATTTTTCTAGTAGTGACCGAATTAGTGACTGATTTGGTGACCGAATTAGTGACTGATTTGGTGACCGAATCAGTGACCGATTTTCGTGACTGAAATTTTAGTCACTAAATCAGTCACTAAATATAAAACTCAAATCAGTGACTGATTCAGTTACTATCAGTGATTGAATTTTTCGGTTACTAATTTCGGTCACTATTAACCATTTTTCTAGTAGTGTACATTTTATCAGTTAAAACATCATCTTCTGTACTATACTCAAAAATATTACCACATGGACAGATTCTTCTACAGTATTTAGCCTTTTGTTAAAGATTCTATAAGCATGGCTATTTAATGAATACCCCAAGAATATACCTTCATCTGATTTGGAATCAAACTTTCCAAGATTTTCTTTTCCATTATTTAAAACAAAAACCTTACTTCCAAATACTCTAAAATAGTTTATGTTAGGCTTTTTACCTTTGAATAATTCATAGGGAGTTTTCTTAAGAAAATGTCTGATTAAAACACAGTTTAATATATGGCAAGCAGTGCTAACGACATCAGCCCAAAAATATTTTGGTAATGCTTTCTCATTAAGCATTATCCTAGCTAGCTCTTCAAGAGAACGATTTTTCCTTTCAACTACACCATTCTGTTGAGGAGTTCTAGGAGCAGAAAAATTATGCTTGATACCATGTTTATCACAAAATTTATTGAAATTTTCGTTTGAAAACTCTCCCCCATGATCACTTTGAATACAAGAGATAAAATAGCCTTTTTCATTTTGAATTTGTTTCGCAAATTTCTTAAACAAATGGAAAGTATCAGATTTTAATTTTAAAAATAATGTCCAGGTAAATCTTGAGTAATCATCTACTATAACCAGTGCATATAGATTTCCTCCTAAACTCATAGTTCTAGAAGGACCAAAGAGATCCATGTGCAAAAGTTCAAGAGGTCTAGATGTTGAAACAATATTTTTCTGTGAAAAATAATTCCTTACTTGTTTCCCCTTTTGACATGCATCACATACTTTGTCTTTCACAAACTTAAGTTTAGGTAAGCCAACTACAAGATCTCTAGAAATCAGTTTGTTTAGATGATTCATATGAATATGAGCTAACCTCCTATGCCACAACCAGGAATCATTTTCTTTAGAAATTAAGCAACAGTTTTTAGTAGAATTAGTATCTAACATGTAAATATTGTTGATCCTCTTACCAGTAATCAGTACCTGTTCTGAATCTGATTTGATTATTTGACACTGATCTTGCCCAAAGACAACTTTGTGTCCTTTATCACAAAGCTGACTAATACTAATCAAATTATGTTTTAAACCTTCAACATATAATACATTGTTAATAATACCTGATTCTGTGCATTTGATGTCACCTATTCCAAGGATTCTTCCTTTGTTATTATCCCCATAAACAATAGTCCCTCCATTCTTTAGTTTTAAGTTGTAAAATTTTGTAATATCACTTGTCATGTGTTTAGAACAACCACTGTCAAGGTACCAGAGATCTTCAGTTTGTTTTGCCTGAAAAGAAATTAGTATAGTTGCAGTACAAAATAATACAGAATTGAAATAAACAATTAATTCTGCACTGGAAGTTAAATTTTAATCGATTAATTTGATATTCAATCGATTAATCAAGTTCTGGAGAGAATATATCAGAATAATAATCGATTTAAACGAGGAATAATCGGTTAATTTTATCCTGTTAATGATTTTAACTAATGTAAATCCATTTTAATCGATTAAAACAGTTAAACTAGATTTCAGAGAACATTTTAATTGATTAATTTGTATTTCGATCGATTAAAACTGTACGAACAATTTTTCTGGTATTCTCTGTAAGTGATATTAACCAATTAAAATAGTTTTATATCAATTAAAATACTCAGTCCATGAATCCAGAACCAAATTTGCTGTTTTGAATACCAAGGGACTTCCAGATTTTGTTCCTGCAAAACAGATTAGGCATATTTCTGGTACCCCTTTTTTAATTGTTGGGTCCAATCATGTTATTTGAAATGACTTTTTGGGTATCCACTTCATTTTACCTTTAGGAATAACATATTTCTTAATTCTACAATATTTCACAGAATGACCTTTTTTCATGCAGTAGAAACATTTAACAAATGGAGATGACATAGATTTACTATATGCAAAATAGTTTTTAAATACTCTAGTTTTATTTCCAATGGGAGTTGTAAAACCTATACCACCACGGTCAATAACTAATTTTTGAGAATCAAGTATCATATCAAGACTAGTCTTTCCTTGTGCTAGTTTAGATGCAGTTTTTATTAAATATGTTAATTTCTCTTGCAACTCAGGACAATTGTTACAATCTTTACACATGCAATCAGAGTTATTACCTATATCCAAATTTTCATTCTTGATTTCTTCATCAACTATTTTATTTTCAAGAAGAGTGATCTTGTTTTCTAATAGACTATTCATACTTTTTAATCTTTTGTTTTCAATTTCTAGTCTCTTAGCTACTGCATGCATTTCATAAAAGGCATCTTGTAAAGAACTATAATTCAGAGTAGTTGTTGAGTCAGAACTTACACTGGTTATTGGAGAATCCGAATTAACCATTAAGCATGTCTCTGTTGTTTCTTCATAGGCCATTTCAAGGGTTCTCCACATTTGTGCAGCAGTTTGATAGTGTGCTATCCTGAAAAAATTA